TCTCTCTGATACACAGATTCTTTCCTTCTAGCTCTCTTAGGTACTATTAATCCTGAGATTTGTGAGATTAGAGAAAGGCCAAGTCCACAATTTTGAGTCCAATTTGAAGCAAGTCTTAATTGTACTGACTAGTAGGTTTCTCTGTACTGTTTTGGAGGCTGTCCTGGAACTTGCTCTGTAGACCAAGCTGGCCTCGAACTCACAGAGATCCGCCTGCCTCTGCCTACCGAGTGCTGGATTAAAAGCGTGCGCCACCAACGCCCGGCCCCAGCAAGTAGTCTTGAGTCACTTATTGTAAGGGATTTTAAAGGACAAAACAATTCAGCCACCCTATTTCCTATGTGGCTTTGTTATTTTCTAAGAACTATAACTCCCAGAATTCCAGAAAGTTACCTGGTCCTTGGGTAGGTAGGGCTTACAGGTTGACTTTTGGTCTCACATTCCTCCCCACCCCTTGAGTTGTATCCTTGGTCAAATCCTCAACTCTGCGATGGGTACCAATATATATTGGGATCTAATAGCCATCATCTTACTGGTACCCAGACAGGAATTGCCTTTTAAGTATCATACCAATGATGTAAGAGTCAACAGTAATTATCAGAAGCAGAAGGGCCAAAGGTCTTGTGATGGCTAGCAACAGAGTTACTGTCTAGAAGGAGTCCGAAAATGGATGGGGCACCAGTCATATTTATTTCATCTCAGGTCCCCTTTTTGTAATGTTTCTTTGAGTGCAACCAGATTATAATCCTAAGTAATTTGTATAGAAATAACAATCTTCTCTCTCTGTCCCTGTCTCTCTCTCTCCTCCTCCTGTCTCTCTTCTGGTTTTTTGAGACAAGTTTTCTTTGTATAGTCCTAGCTGTCCTAGAACTCACTGTGAAGACCAGGCTGACCTTGAATTTACAGAGATCCAACTGCCTCTGCTTCCCCAGTGCTGGGATTAAAGGTGTTCACACCACTTCTTTGACTCCCTGAAGCTTACATGAATTTTTAGTTAACAAAAAGGAGATAAAAGTTCTAGATATATTAGCATTGATCTGCACTGAAACCCACACAGTAGCATAGCTGAAGTAGACTCATGGGAAATGTTTTAGATTTCTCTCCCCCTCTACGGTACTGCTATACTGAGATTTCAAAGCAACAGAATTCTAATATTGATTAATAGAGTCATGATGAGCTATAGTGTACTCAATACCTACTGTTCAGTCACAAGCTCAAGAATTAAAATTTCTCCGGGTGGTGGTGGTGGTGGTGGTGCATGCTTTTAATCCCAGCATTCGGGAGGCAGAGGCAGGCGGATCTCTGTGAGTTCAAGACCAGCCTGGTCTACAAGAGCTAGTTCCAGGACAGCCTCCAAAGCCACAGAGAAACCCTGTCTCAAAAAAACCAAAAAAAAAAACCCTCAAAAAACAAAAAAACAACAACAAAACAAACACACAAACAAAAAAACAAACCCAAAAACCAAACTAAAACAAAAACCAAAAAAAAAGTACAGATTTTAAACCATACCCAATAAACTTACAAGCCAACAATCCCTTTAGTTGTTTTGCTCCTTTTTTGGTGGGGGGGGGTCATAGCTCTTGATCCCAAACATGGAATTAAAAGCATGCCTGGGTTTGGGAAAGAGTCAGTTTTTCAATAAAGTACAACAGCACAAAACAACTTCAAAATTATCCACCTCCGGATGCCACTTTAATCCCTATTACGCTAGATTTCCATGGTCACAAAGCTCAGAGATACATTCTGAGCCCCAGGGCCATCATTGGTTGCAACAGCAACAGCTGAATTATAACCAAGGCATGAAGAACACAGTTCACACATCCAAGGGAGACCAGACATGCAGTGGCCACATCCACACATTCAAAACAGACTGACAAAACTAACCTTTGGTGCAGCATGGGTTGTAAGACCACAGTGGCTGAGAAAGTTCACGAGGAGCTAGACCAGTCGGAGCCAGGCATGCTGGGCTTCCACACAGGGACCTGGGACTTCTTAAAGCTGCCCACTGGCCCCAAACATTGCATTCTGAGCTGGACACATAATGCCATTGAATCCCATGCCCCCAAAACTGCTGTTTTGGGAGTGATCCCCCCAAAAGCATTGTCAACTAACCAGTCATGTTTGTCTATTTAGTTGCCTGTCACAACATGTTGGGAGATGTCATTCTGTAAATATGTGTTTGATTGGTTTGAATAAAGAACTTTTGGCCAATAGGGAAGCAAGATAGGTGGGACTAGGAGTCTAGGAGGATTCTGGGAAATGTAGTGAGGAGATTTGTCGCGATGTGATCCCTGGAGGAGAGAACACAAGTCTGGTGTTCTCGTAAAGATAAGTCCTTATGACTATATTGGTGATTATGAGTCAATGATTAAATCAGAGCTAGCGGATTAGAAACCATAGCAAACAGCAAACAGCTTATAATTAATATAGTGTCTTCTGTGTTATTTGGGGACTGAAAGCAACAACAGGACCCAGGCTGCAGGCAGGAAGACAACATGTTACATGAACACATAATGACCACTATAGACAAACAAGGCGAAGAGTCAGACCCACAACAAAAAACTGTAGGTGAAACTTTCTGTCCCAAATAATCATACAGAGACTTATCATTAATCAAAAATGCTCAGCTGATAGCTTAGGCTTGTTACTAACTAGCTCTTATAACTTAACTTAACCCATATTTCTTATCTACAGTCAACCCCATGGCTTGGTACCTTTCCTCAGTATGGCATGCTCATCTCACTTCTCCTGGCAACTCTGCCCTTCCTCATCCCAGAACTCTCTCCCTGTCCACAAGTCTGCTTAGCCTCTTTCTGCCTAGCTATTGACCATTTAGCTCTTTATTAAAATCAATGAGACCAACAGCTCTTCACGCTGCACAAAAGGATTATAGTACAGAATTTCCTCCTTTTTGTCTAATTAAAAAGAAAGGTTTTAACTTTAGCATAATAAAACTATATACAACAAAAACAATTATCAAGTAAGAATTACAGCTACACTATTCAGTCCATTTATATTTGGCAAATTTAGAGAAATATTCTATTATGTATCTTATCTTTGTGAGTCTAAATCTGTATACTTAATTACTTTTCATTATAGCTAAGGAAAACTATAAGTCTATTTGGTCTTTAACTCTTTCAAAGACCTTAGAAGGATCAAATATTACCTAACATCAGGGACATCTGGCTGCCTTGACAGTCACCCAAAGTGCCTCTACAACTTTGGGGTATTTATCTTTGGCCTACAGGCCTAGAACATTGGACAGACTTTTCTGTGAAGCAGGAATTTTGAAGGACTCTCCTACCTTGTCTTGGCAAAGTTCAGCAATTGCTTTCTTTTGTATCCTGCTTGTCTAATTTGGACCACATACTGTCCGTAGTTGAGGCAAGGGCAGTTTCTTGCCAAAATGGCTTGCTTTTGCCACAAAGAAAGTAAACTCCACATGGAGGTTTTCTTTTTTTTCTTTTTTTCTTTTTGGTTTTTTGAGACAGTGTTTCTCTGTGGCTTTGGAGGCTGTCCTGGAACTAGCTCTTGTAGACCAGGCTGGTCTTGAACTCACAGAGATCCGCCTGCCTCTGCCTCCCGAATGCTGGGATTAAAGGCGTGCGCCACCAATGTCCAGCTTCATATGGAGGTTTTCAATGCCCACCATCATCTCTGAAGTAGAGTGGTTCTGTCAGGAGCAGACATGTCTCACAGTCATTAAAAGCTTCAGGTAATTAACATCTTAATTGCCGTATTCTGTAGGTCTTAGAAGTGTCTGAAGGCCATCTATCTAAATATAGCTGTTTAACCTTGAAAATATACCTAATGTGACTACAAGTTTGATTATTATAGATGGCTATCTATTAACTTGCATTTCTTACTTATACATTACATTTTTACATGAACCTCTCTTCTGGGACTCAGTTTCCCTCAGCCTTTCCCTATACTGCAGGGGTGGTGGTATTGTTGTTGGTGTTATTGGTTTTGCTTTGAGTCAGAATCTCCAGGAACTCTTCCTGACTGAGCCAACTCTCCAGCCCTTGTAAGTTCATTTATTTATAGAGTATAGTGATCGAGACCACTAGGACCTGTAGTTCAGTGTATCACTTGTGAGAAGCAATAGTGAGTGAACAGAGCACAGCAGTGAAGATGCTGCCTTTCACCAGTGACATCAGCTCAGCGACTGAACCGAGTCTAGCTTTATTCAAAGGATGATAAGAAAAGGCAGCAAGTTGACATTGTAAAGAAACTGCCCTCACAGTGTGTCCCTTTTGAGAGCAACTGAGTCTACCCTCAGCACGTGGTGGGTCACTGAAATCAGAGTTTCTGTTTAGCCCAGTCCCACCACCCTTCAGTCCCAAATAAACACACAGAGGCTTATATTAATTAAAAATTGTTTGGCCAATGACTCAGGCTTCTTATTGGCTAGCTCTCTCTTAATTATTAACCCATTTCTATTAAACTATGTACTGCCATGAGACTGTGGCTTATCTGTGATGCTCCGGCATGCTATTCCTTCGGTGGCTACACAGTGTCCCTCTGGCTGCTGCTGGCTGCCTCCCTCTTCCCAACATTCTCCTTGTCTGGTAGCCCCACCTATACTTCCTGTCTGGATACTGACTATTCACCATTTATTCATCAGCTAATAAGAGGAACATATTCATAGCATACAGAGGACATCCCCATCAGGTCAGACTCCTGAAATTACTGATGCCAGTACCTCAGTTACTGTAGTCCATGCTTGTCTGCCTCGTTAGGCCTCCCTGGGCACCTAGACTCAGGCACTTTCTGACATCTGGGTCTGGGTAAGGTATTTGCACTCCTTCAGGTACCAGCTGGGCTGGAAAGTTAGCTCAGAACAAACAGGCCATTTAATTGTGTGCGTGTGCAGATCTCATATTTAGGGCAAGGGGTACAAAAGTGTCCATTGCCAGGCCTGCTCTGTATGAGTCATTACTGGAAAAAAAACGGCAGAGTCAGAGTGGTGGAAACAAGAAAGCTTCAGAAGGGGCGTGGTGTTCCCACCTGCTTATAAATGTCACTCCAGGAGAGAAACGGCACTTCCCAATTTGTCTCTGCTGCCCAGATCCGCTCCCCTCCATCACCTCTTTCATTGCCTGGGAACATGGCCAACAGGAAAATAATCGCAGTGTTTGGAGCAACAGGTAAGAAAAAGTTGTTGTCTTCTTGTTGTTTTTCAAGTGTTCCTCTGCATATCGATGACAGAAAATGCATGCTAACTTTGCTTGCTTTTCTGATTTTCAGGTTTTACCTTTAGCCCAGGGGGTGAGCAGAACCAACAGCCCTCAGAAGGAAACTGAAGGGAATCTTGTACTTAATGGTTTTGATGTGAGCAGGTCAACCTGACTGTAAAAAAAAATCTTAGAAACATAAAGATAGCTGGCAGCACAACTTCCCTATCACCAGCTAACTCTTTGTGCAAGTCTGTTTTGAAACTGAGCCGTGTGTGGAGTACCTTTCCCACTCTTTGCCAGATAAGCTACCAAAGCAAGTTGGAAGCAGGGAACAGGCAGTGCTGACCACCACCTTCTTGACTGGAAGTGAGAAGCCAGTGCCTTTTAACGAACCTCTGCTTTCCAGTATTCCGATAGCTTGAGCTATCTTTACCAATTGTTTGTTAATAAAATCAGTTCAGACCTATACCCCCAGCCTCTTAATGATCCCTTCGAAAATGTCAGCATATGGCGGCTCAATCCAAGGAAAATACAGTCTTGTGTAATGTCCTCCAAAATCCCGCCTCTCCAGTGAGAACTCCTGGTACACCGGCTTTCCTTGCTGCTCGTCCTTTTTCTTTAGTTTATTGTAGTGTGTGTGTGTGTGTGTGTGTGTGTGTGCGTGCGCGCGTGTGCAAGAGAGAATTGTGCAGGTTGTGATCCTGGGCTGGACAGCAAGCACTTCACCCACTGAGCTATTCTGCTGGCTCTTCCGTGCTGTTTTGCAAACACACACCGCTGTAGCAGCAGTTAGGGCTCCGTGCTCTAGCCAAGTCACCCTCTGGACCCCTCCCTACCTTGACCCGTCTTTCCTGTCTTCCCACACTAGAAAACAGGCTCCACATTGCCAGGGAGACAGGTTATGGATGTGCCAAAATAAAAGACAACAAAGAGAAGGGAGAGAAAGCAGACTGGTGACTTTCTCAGTGGCACACGCCTTTAATCCCAGCACTTGTGAGACAGGCTGATCTCTGTAAATTCAAGGCCAGCCTGGTCTACCCATAGACAGTGCTGTGCCAGACCAGCCAGGGCTACAGAGGCCCTATCCCCCAAACAAAAGAAAAGCAGAGTATGGCGAGAATGTTTTCCCAGAGCTCTGGGAACCTTCGTGTGTCGGCCCAGCGCCTGCAGGCTCCAGTCCACTGAGTGCTGTTCTGCTCCACTGCTGTGGAAGGTTCTGGTCTCTGCTCAAACACAGCGTTGAGCAGGTGCCAGCTTTACTGCGTTTGCATTTATGTTCCAGCTGTTACGTTCCAGCTCCCGCAGTTTTTATCTCCAATCTTGTCCGACTGGAGAAAGTTTTTGTTTTGTTTTCGTGACAGGACTTCTGTGTAGTCCTGGTTGTTCTGGGTGTGGCTCTGTAGATCAGGCTGGCCTGGAACTCACAGAGATTTGCCTGCCTTTGGGATTAAAAGTGTGTGCCACCACTGTCTCGTGGTAAATTACTCTTAAAGGATATCCTAGTCCTCCCCCTTAAGTCATTCTGGTTTTTAAATACACTTGTTTAAAATAAAGACCCCCCCAAAAAAAGAAAGAAAGAAATAAAAGAAAGAAAACCAGCCGGGTATTAGGATAATACGCTTTGGACACCCCAGCATTTGGGAGTCAAGGACACTGTGGGTTACATTAAACTTTGTCTCAATGAAAACAAAAGCAGAACGCCAACCAAAACAAAGAGAGGGAGAAAGAAATCAGATGCAGCTGCTTTTTTTTCGGGGGGGGGGCTGATTTTTCAAGACAGGTTTCACGTTATAGCCCTGGCTGTCTTGGAACTCGCTCTGTAGTGGCTGTCCTTGGCCTCACAGATTCTCCTGACTCAGCCTCCTGAGTGCTGGGATTAAAGTTGTACACCACCACTGGAGATGCAGTTTTCCTGAGATTTAGTTTATTACTGTGTTGGCCTCTTAATATCTTCATTTGCTTATTTGTTTGTTTGTTTTGAGACAGGGTTTCTCTGTGTAGCCTTAGCTGTCCTGGAACTCACTCTGTAGACCAGGCTGGCCTTGAATTTACAGAGATCCACCTGTGTCTGCCTCCTGAGTGCTGGGACGAAAGGAGTGTGCCATCACTGCCCAGTAGTATCTTGTAATCTCATTTGTTAATCCTTGGAATGAGCTGCTGTGCTCCTGGCATCCTTGGCAGAAAGGATCTGGCCTTGAACTTACCAAATGCTGGGGTATAGGCAAGCATCACCATGCCTGCCTTTTGTAAAATTGTTCTCAGACTCTCTTCTTGTGGAACCCATTCGATGTACCACTGATTTTGTTGTAATTTAAGAAAAGTTGCTCAACAGAGAAAAATGCCATGCAAAAGAGTTCAAGCAGAGTTTTTTTTTTTTTTTAATTAGGGGAAAGGGATGGTAAAAAGGGGAAAAGGAAGCAGGGAGACCGGCCACTGGGGACAGGAGCAGTGGGAGAGAGGAAAGAGCGGACAGAGGGAGGAGGGGGGAGAGAAAGAGAGGAGGATGGGAGGTGGGCGTGGCCCTTTTATAAGGGAACATAGTGAACAGGCACAGATGGTGCTCTTAGTGGCTACAGCTGAGAACGCATCCTGTTCGAACTCCAAGGGCAGGCCAAAACAAATGCCTGAATACTAACACTCCTCCCTTTTTATTGACTATAAAAAGATGAGGTGTTAGAAAGGGGCAGCAGGTGAGGTGATGAGAATGCCGTGTTCTTGAAATTACTTCCTCCTGACTTGGGGGGTGTCGTTCGTCTTTGGGACCTGGGAAAGCTGGGGTGCTAGCCACATACTGGAGTAGCTGGCCGTTTCACTTTACTGTCCAGGCTCTTCAGAACCATCAGGCACCACCTGGACCTGGCGAGATGCTGTTCAAGGTGGATCCAAGTTGATTCCCTAGGGCTTAAAGTACCCAATCCTTTCCCATCGCCACAGCATCCCCTGGACATGTTTGACAGCCTTGTGCCTCCAGCTCTGTGACCAACAGCTGATAGTCCTGCAACAATAACTGATTAGGAATGGTTAGTGGGTCTCTCCCCCCCAAAAAAAATCCCAATGGGAGCAAGGAGGTATAGATGATGACACAGCTCCCAGGAGTGAGACAGAGCAGTAAGACACAAGGGTTTGCAATTCCTAGCACCCCAGGAATTCAGAGAGGGTTGATTTCAAGACAGGCACAGGCCACTCAGTGAGTCATCATGCAAACGACGTCAAGGGCTCTGAGCCTGTAAGAGACACAGATGCCTGGTACCAGGGCTTTGAGAAAAGCCAGAAGGCAAGGAAAGGACTGTGTTAGAGAAAGGAAGCCACACGCCCAGCTGGGAGGTGGGCGTGGCCCTTTTATAAGGAAACATAGTGAATCAGCACAGGTGGTACTCTCAGTGGCTGCAGTAGAGGGCGTATCCTGTCAGAACTCCAAGGGCAGGTTAGCACAAATGCCTAGGTACTAACAGATCTAATCCTAGAGGAAGAACTTCCATTTTACAAGCTGGCTCTGCCCACGAGCCTCAGTTGGTGGCCAGTAGCAAATTGTTTAGGGGTAAATGAATAGGTAGCCAAAATGTACCAGATGTTTGAGAAAAGCCTCCCCATGAAATTTAAGACTAAAATAAACTGATAAAAAAGAAAACCGAATCAGTTAGAGGGAAGAGAATGGTTAAAAAAAAGAAGAAGAAGAATTAACACCCAAGATGGGCGAATTTTCATCCCAAATACTATCACTGGGCTATGGTGTAGTCTATTGACAGACTATTCACTGGGCTATGGTGTAGTCTATTGACAGACTATCACTGGGCTATGGTATAGTCTATTGACAGACTATTCAGGTCTCAGGATCAGCAGGTTGTGGTGACACATACTTGTAATACCAATACTTGGAAAGTAGAGGAAAGAGGGTCAGGAACTCAAGATTAGCTTTAATACATTGTGAGTTCAAGGCTACTCTGGACTGCATGAGGCCCTGCCCAATAAACAAGCAAGCTAGCAAACAAATAAATAAAAACAAAACCCCCAAAGAAACAAGCTGAGCACGGTAACCACTGGCCCGTAATTCCAGCATGCAGGAATCTGAGACAAGAGGCTTGCTAGAAGTTCAAGGCCAGCCTGGGCTACATAGTGAGTGTTGGACCAATTTAGCAAGATCTTCTGGGGGAAAAGAAGCTGAGTGTAGTATTGAATGTTTTTTTTTTCTTTTTTCCAAGACAGGGTTTCTCTGTGTAGCTTTATAGACCAGGCTGGCCTCAAACTCAGAGATCTGCCTGCCCCCACCTCCCAAATGTTGGGACTAAAAGCCTGAGCCACCACTGCCCAACAAGGTGTTGCATATTCTTAATCCCAGCACTTGAGGGGCAGAGGCAGGTGGATCTCCCCGAGTTTAAGGCCAGCATGGTCTATGTAGATAGTTCCACTTTAGCCAGGACTACATAATGAGACCCCGTCTCACAATAAATAAATAAATAAATAAATAAATAAATAAATAAATAAATAAATGAATGAATGAAAGCAGGCTGCGTAAGCCATGAGAGCAAGCCAGTAAGCAGTGCTCCTCCATGTTTCTGCTTCAGTTGATGCCTCCAGGTTCCTGCCTTGAGTTCCTGCCCTGACTTCTCTCAGTGATGGAGTGTGACCTGAGAGTTGAGGGATGAAATAAACCCTTTCTTCTTAACTTGTTTTTGGTTGTGGTATTTTATCATAGCATTAGAAACCCTTAACAAATTGGTACCAGGATTTTGGAATATTACTATGACAGACCGGAAGATGTGGAAGGATCTGGAAACTTCAGGCTACAAAAACTGCTGAAGGCTCAGCGCTCAGTGAGCTACTATGGGACAGGTTTCCAGTCACTTTGACAGAGAAATCCAAGAGTCAGTAACCCGGCACAGTACCTGGAATATATTACAATATTCAGAGAACACAAATTAGGTGATTAGATGATACTATTACAATTGACCATGGATGACAAAACAACAACGAAAAGGAAAACTGATGGAAGTTTTCAAAATGTTTTATAAATATAGACTACCCTTGGGGAGACATGGCTCAGTAGTAAAGCATTTGATAAGCATATGTGAAACCCTGGGTTAATTACTCAGCACTGGTAAAATATGAAAATAGACATAAATAGTATATATAACTGGAGAGAGAGAGAGAGAGAGAGAGAGAGAGAGAGAGAGAGAGAGAGAGAGAGAGAGAGAATCATTCAAGAGGTGGGAACTAAGAACTTAAAAAACATAATATTTATGTCTGCAAAATAGTATAATTGCCCTTGTTTAACTGGGGGTCTGCACCAGACCATATGGCCAATCTTTCCTCCCGCCTCTCCTGTTCCTTTCCCTCTTATGGCCTAGACAGCTTGAAAGCCGTGGGATACCTAAGGGTCCCTGTGGTGCCTCTAGAGGGGGTCTTTCAGAATAGCTCCCCATGCAGCTGGCATCTCCTAGTGAGATGTTTTTTGTTTGTTTTCTGATTGTGCGCTTCTTCTCCTGACCTTGCAGGGTCTCAGGGCGGCTCTGTGGCCAGGGCCATTCTGGAGGACAACCATTTTGCACTGAGAGTACTGACCAGGGATGTGGCTGGGAAGAAGGCCCTAGTGTTTCAGGACCTTGGTGCTGAGGTGGTCAGATGTGACCTGGATGACTCTGCATCTGTGGAAGAGGCCTTAAAAGGAGTCTATGGAGCCTTTGTGGTGACCAACTTCTGGGACCATCTCAGCAAAGAGAAGGAAGTGTGTCAGGTGGGAGCTGAAGTATTCCTTCTTCCCCTCTAAGTCCCTCCCCTTTTCCCAACCCCTTCTGTCAGTGCTAGTCTCAGTCTGGGCCCCAAAGTAAGCCAGGCTCTGCAACATTCCCCGAGGCACTTAGGAAACACATGCGTGGGAGGTACTTGCCAAGGGTTGGTAAATTAATGTTATATGACAGCTGTTCAAAGCTAAAGACCTAGAGGAGAGCTGCTTGCTATAACCAGCCGTTGAATCTTATTACTGCTTGTAGGTGGAGGGCGGGGATGTCCCACAAACATTGAGGTTACTTTGTTAGCAAATGGGAAGATAAAATATGACCAGTATGTTTGTACTTCAAGCAGGGACTGTGGGGATGAGTTAGTAAAGGGTACAAAGAAAAAGAAACAAGCAAGCAGGTAAGTGAAGTAACAGCTCCAGGGAATGAGGGTTTGTACGGACGTGTGTGCACCTACGGTAACGTGTGCACCTACGGTAACGTGTGCACCTACGGTAACGTGTGCACCTACGGTAACGTGTGCACCTACGGTAACGTGTGCACCTACGGTAACGTGTGCACCTACGGTAACGTGTGCACCTACGGTAACGTGTGCACCTACGGTAACGTGTGCACCTACGGTAACGTGTGCACCTACGGTAACGTGTGCACCTACGGTAACGTGTGCACCTACGGTAACGTGTGCACCTACGGTAACGTGTGCACCTACGGTAACGTGTGCACCTATGGTAACGTGTGCTGTGACTCAGCTCTGTTGTGTGCGGCACTCGATGAGCAGAGACCACACCCCACACAAGAGAGTGGGATGGGGATTAAAAAGGATCGTGCCTTTGCACGGTAGTGGGAGAGAGCTTTGTGTGCAGGTTTGTGTGTGCAAGAGGAGAAGAGAGATAATGCTACATCATTACTGTTAGAAACATACTAGGTAGCTGAGTAAAAAAAAAAGTTGAGCCATGCAGTGTAAACATGTTTTCTCAGGATTAAGGAGCTGAGAGAAGAAAATGCTTACTCTGCAGTGTGTTGGCCTGTAGGGGCAGCGAACTGGCGTTGTTTTGTTAGTTTTTGTTTTTGTGTGGGCTGGCTTTGTACTCACCTGGTAGCCCAGGCTGGTCTCCAACTTACAGCAATCCTCCTGAGTCAGCCTCCCAGATGCTAGAATTGTAGGTGTGAGCCACTACAGCCAGCCAATAACCATTTGTTTTTTGTTTTAGATTATAGGATCTATCTTCCTGTGAAAATTCCCTCTCCCTGCCTCCTTCTCTCTCTCTCTCTCTCTCTCTCTGTGTAAATTTGAAACACTTACCAATTTTTTAAAAAAGTTATGGATAGCATCAGCTACTGGAAGGAATGACAAAATTCAGAAACGTCAATACAGGGCAGAGTTGTCCTGGGAATGTTTGTAGAATTGGTCACGCCACTTCATGCTTACCGCATTAATTTTGGGATGACCTCGTAGTAAGTTCTGGGAGGCGGTGTGCCAGGTGCCCTGCCACTGCGCTCCATCCTCAGCCTCTCTTTTTAAATTCATTTTCATACAGGATCTTACCAAGTTGCTCAAGCTCACTTAGTCCAATCTGTCACCCAGGAAGACTTTGATTTTGTGATCTTCTGCCACAGGCTCCCAAGCAGTTTGGAATTCAGGACTGTACCACTCAGCCCAGGTTCCCTACCTGCCCCCACCCCTTAAAGTATTTCTTGAATTCTTTGTTTGTTTTTCTGAGACATGGTTTCTCTGTATAGCCCTGGCTGTCCTGGAACTCTGTAGACCAGGCTCGTCCCAAACTCAGAGATCCGCCTGCCTCTGCCTTAAAAGTGCTGGGATTAAAGGCGTGTGCCACCACCGCCTGTTGTATTTCTTGAATTCTAATTCTGACATTCACTCATATATATCAGTGCACACACACACACACACACACACACACACACACACACGAAACCTGAACCTAAGGTCATTCATCGCTTCTTGGCTTCACTTCTGACAGCTGTGTGAGACTTTGTAGGCGAGCGTGAGATCGCAACAGTGAAGTAAAGAAAGTGTGTGAAGGAGGCAAGGAGAAAGGCAGAGAGGAGGAGGAGGGAGAGTTGGAAATTTAAAACTAAAACCAAAGAGAGAATCCGTAAGCCAGGTGCGGGGAGGAGAGGGAGGGAAGGAGAGGAGAGTGAGAAATACACCTTTATTTTTGTATGTGTTCTTCCATTTTTCCCACAAAATCCAAATGGTGTGCAGATATCAGAAAAAACTATAAATGTATATTTGTGTGAAAAGGCCTGAATCGTGTCCCTCAGGGGAAGCTGGTGGCAGACGTGGCCAAGCGCCTGGGCCTGAAGCACGTGGTGTACAGCGGCTTGGAGAATGTGGACCGGTTGAGCGGGGGCACGCTGAAGGTGCTGCACTTCGATGGGAAGGGGGAAGTGGAGGAGTATTTCTGGTCCACTGGTGTCCCTATGACCAGCGTCCGCTTGGCGGCTTACTTTGAAAACTTCCTCACTCTGTGGAAGCCAGTGAAAACCTCCGAAGGCTACTACACCCTAGGTAAATGCCCGGTTGCAGTGCCGGCCCAGCTGGTTGCCTGCCTCCTTCCTTCCTTCCATCCCCCCTTCCCTGCCCCCTTTCAGTGCACACACTGGTGTTCTTGGCTCTGTGGGACCTGTTTAGAGGGCCACTGAACAGTCCTGCCCTTCCTCACGGTAGCCACGCCCTCAAAGGCCAAGACTGGACCTGGCCTAGGAAGCACCCCAGGTTATTTTTGCAGCCCACCATGCTGACATTCCCCGTGTGTGTAGCTGACTCTGTGTCCTAAGCTCAGCTTCCTGGTGTCTCTTGGGAACCACTAAGAGTCCTCTCTGGTTTATCTGACCTTCAGCAGCAGGTGAAGACAGAATCCCATCATCAGTTAGTCTCCAGGGACCAAAATCTCCCAGGAGACGGGTCCTCAGCCTGCTCCAGCACAGGCTGCACAGAGCTGATAATCTGTGGGTTAGAGTAGTAGCCACCCCCATACAGGATCCCAAATATTCAGTCTCTACTATGGGAATAGCTGGCATTTCCTAAGGCGCCCCCAATTCTTGTGATCCTGTGAGAGCTAGTGGCCGCATGATTCTGTGTCCTTTCTTGTGATCCTGTGAGAGCTAGTGGCTGCATGATTCTGTGTCCTTTCTTGTGATCCTGTGAGAGCTAGTGGCCGCATGATTCTGTGTCCTTTCTTGTGATCCTGTGAGAGCTAGTGGCTGCATGATTCTGTGTCCTTCTGAGGGCTGCTCCCTTCTCTCCCCCAGGGACCACTTCCCACAGCAGCTGCTTTCACACCTCTTGCTCAAGTGGTTAGATCTGATGCAGTGACTAGCTCGGGGTGGAGAACTTGTCGAGGGTGTGATACTATAACTTATGTTTTTATTTGTTTTTGAAACTAGCACTGCCCATGGGGGACGTACCGATGGATGGGATCTCTGTCGCCGACGTTGGAGCAGTTGTCTCCAGCATTTTTGCTTCTCCAGAGGAGTTTGTAGGCAAGGCTGTGGGCCTCAGCGCAGAGGCCCTGACAATACAGCAGTATGCTGACGCTTTGTCCAGAATTCTGGGGAAGGACATCCGGGACGCAAAGGTGAGTCCCTTGGTTGTTTGAGACAGGGTTTGCATCTTTTTCATTTTTAAAAATTATTCATCTGTTTTATGTACGTGTGTGTACACGCACAGGCCGTACTGTGTGTGCCAGTGTCAGAGGACAACCTGTAGAAGTCACTTCTCACCTTCTGCCACACGTGGCTCACGGGTTAAGCTCAGGTTGTTGGGGGCTTGGTGGCAAGAGCCTTTCCTTGCTGAGCCATCTCATGGGCCCAAGATGGGGTTTTGGTAGCACAGGCTACCCTCAAGCTTGAAATAAATACCCGGCCTCCTCAGACTCGCCCTTGCTGGCAATGCAGCACATGCACGTCTGTCTTCAAAGGTGAATTCTTTGGTGATCAGTGTGACATCGAGATGCTACCTCAGCTAGCATCCCTCTGATCTATAAATCCATTAGATTTGTTGGTGGATTTTGAGGGTGAACCCAGACGGTACTTTCAGAAGAAAGCGAAGAGAGTGATCAGAAACCTTCACCTTCTCTATGTCTCCAGCTTCAGGTTAATTGGCTCATTAAGTAAACTAAATTACTCTGGGGTGGACGGAATTTAGGCTCCAAAGATCAAGGTATAACTTTTTCACCTGAGCTGTTCCAGCTTCTCTCACTGGTTTTCACTGAGGATGGGGGAATGGGGTGCAGGTGGGGGCGGGGAACACAAGGCATTTTAGTCTCTCTCCTCAACTTCCTCACTTGCAGATTGGCACTACAGTGCCCACCTGAGAGTGCCCTGGTGAAAATGGCACAGGCTGTATTTAGAGTCTACCTTAGTGATCAGCACACAGTAGGGACATATCAACTACTATGTGCCCACTGCTAGCTTTGAGTAACTAGGGTGAAAATGTTGGGACACAGAGTCGCAATGGTCATCACTCCAGGTGCCTATGTCATCCAGACTATCTGCCCTGTGGGTGCCAAGAGGATGCTTCATGCAAGAAATGGGTTTCTGGGCCGGAGGGTTGGCTCAGTGGTTGAGAGTCTTGCTGCTGTTCTTTCAAGAGAGCGGGAGCGTGACTCCCGAATCCACACTGGGGAGCTCACAGCCACCTGTAACTCCAGCTCTGGGGGACCCCACATTCCTGCTTGGGCACCCACAAACACACAACAATAATAAAGTAAATCTTTAAAAAAAGGGAATGGGCTTGACTCTCGAGGACACTTAGTGAGCCCACGGTAACAGCGGTGCCATGAGTCCCATGGGAGGCATCTGGTCAAAGTGTGGCAAGGACAGCACTCTGCATACAAGTGGGAAGGGTTGGTATCATCTCCCCACACAGACGTGATGGAGTAGGGGGGTGGGAGAGGCGTTGCTGATGGTGCAGTGACTGAGCAGAACACTTGCAACAGAAACCGTATGACCCACAAAAGTCTCCAGGATTGAAGAGAAGCTGATCTAGGCTGCAGTGATAGAAATGCCTTGACCAAGCAACTTAAGAAGAAAAGGATGACTTTGGCTCACGGTTCCAGGGTACAGCCCAACATTGCTGGGAAGTCACAGCGGTGGGGACATGAAGCAGCTGTTACAGTCTATCCACAGTCAAGAGCAGAGAGCAACACATCCATGCATGCTAGCGACCAGCTTGCTCTTTTCCTTTCATTCAGTCCAGGGCACAGCCAATGAAATGGTTGCCTTCCTTCCTTCATGGTGAGCCTTCTATTTCTACTGAGCCAGTTGAGGTGGGCACAGGCACACCCAACAGGCCAAATTAATCTAGATAATCCGTCGTTGAGATGCACTTCCTTGGTGGTTCTAGATTGTGTTGAGTTGACAGACCAACCACACCATTGTGGTGGTTCACACTCCTGCAATCCCAGCATGGTGGCTCATACTCCTATAATCCCAGCATAGTGGCTCATACTCCTGCAGTTTGGATGGGGGAGTGGGGTAAAGGAATATATATATATATATATATATATATGTCTATATCTATATCATCTATATATCTGGCCAGCCACTCACAGGGGGAGGGGTGGTGGTTGTTTGGACTTCCAATTCATCTTAGGTGTTAGAGGTATAAGGACACTAATAGATATTTTATTCTAGAAAAACAACAATATGTATCACTCAAGACATAAAACAACAATATCTTCATCCAGGTGTGGTGGTACACACCTTTAATCTCCGTGAGGTCAAGGCCAGGCTTGTCTACAGTGTGTTCCAGGACTGTCAAGAATATACAGAAAGACCCTGTCTTGAAAAACAAACAAAGAAACAAAAACCAAAACAAAATAAAACAGCTGTACAGCTGTATCTTTGAAACTTGGGTATCTTTGATACCACACAAAATTTCATAGAGGAAGTAAGTTCTTCCAAGACTAAGGAGTCAGTCCTCTGCTCAAAGGCAGGCTCACCAGAGGTCTCGGAGGATCTTGGGCATAAATATATTTCCCAATGGTTTGTTTCCTGGGGCATTTACATCGGGTGTTGTTTTCTTTTTGTCTTGATAGTTTGACCTGTATTCGGAATAGACAGAGAAAAGGGAAGGCATATGATTAATGGGCTGCGGGTATATTCATTCTTTTTTTTTATTTTTTTGGTTTTTCGAGACAGGGTTTCTCTGTATTGTTTTGGAGGCTGTCCTGGAACTCGTTCTGTAGACCAGGCTGGCCTCGAAATCACAGAGATCCGCCTGCCTCTGCCTCCTGAGTGCTGGGATTAAAGGCATGCGCCACCAATGCCGGGTATATTCATTCTTACGGGACCAATTAATACAATTTTGGATGGCTCCAGATAGTCCAAACATTTTAGATGGATACCTGGGTCCTGGCTGTTCTTGGAACATTTATTTGTTTTCTTATGCAATTGAGGTCTTTCTAGCGCCAAAAATTCCAGGCATCAGGGACTGGAAATTCTACAGGATGGTTAACACTGCTCTGTCTTGATGGTTAATACTAGTCTGTCTGGAAGACAAGCCTGCATTTGCCCTCAGAAGCAAAACACTTAGGCATTATGTTGATTTTGGGAAGGATGCATCTAGCCACAAGGTGGCGCTCCAGCACTCCCAGTTTGGTACCCTTCGGCCTCGAACCTGCCCAACCTATCTAGTCAGAGGGAGCCTTTGGGACTCATCGATTCAGGGTAAACACAAGCCTACCAAACTCCAGTTATTCAGGGCTGCCTGAACTGTCTGTCCAGCCCTGGGGGAAACATGGATCCCTCAGAAAGTGAGCTGCAAGAGAACAGATTTCAAAAAGCCTTTAAAAATCTTTAGCAATAGGTCCCTATTTTATGAGATTTATTAGTTGTCATTGTTGTTCTTTTGCTTAAGTTAGCGATGGAACCCGAATCAAGAGATACATTAACCATGGAGTTTATTAAAGGTGGGGGGAGAGTGAGTGGGGGAGAAGAGAGAGAGAGAGACATGAAGGGAGAGTGGGGGGTGGTGGGGAGAGCGAGAGAGCCAGAGCGGGAGAGGGAGCGGGAGAGGGAGATGCTAAAAGGCAAGAGAGCAAGAGAAGTGAGCAAAAAGCATAAGTGTGTGTGTGTGTGTGTGTGTGTGTGTGTGTGGCGTTTGTCTTTTAAAGGGTCCTTTGCACCTGCGTACAGACTAGCACTCATAGAACCCTGGGCTGACCAGGGCACTGCCTGAGTGCATTCTGCCAGGTTACAGGGGCAGGCCAGCGTAATGCCTGAATCCTTACAGTCATAGATACCAGGTGACAGTGTGACTTAAAGAGACAGATCATGCTCCTAACATAAATTAGTCTGTTTCTAAACTCTAATTAGAAAAATATCTCTCTAAAAACTTTTTATATGTGTCTTGTGTTTGTATGTTCACATGCACGAGGGTGCCCCGGGAAGTCAGCAGAATGGTTCAGTAGGAGTGCGGAGACAGAGAGTCCTGGCTTTTGCAAGAACGTGTGTGTTCTTAATCACGGAGCCATGTCTCTAACCCTTATTTTTCTACTGTCTAACAAATGGGAATTACAGGCTGGCCTTGAACCTCTGCCTCTGCCTCCCAAGTGCTGGGATTAAAGGTGTGTGCCACCACTGCTTGGCCTCACACACTTTCTAAGAATAAGTGAGGGGCTGGTGAGGTAGCTTTTCAGGGGCGGCAGCTGACACCGACCCTGATGACCTGAGTTTGATCCCCTGGATCCATAGGGTGACAGGAGAGACCTGACTGCTGCGGGTCATTCTCTGACCCCCACACTGGTGTTGCACATACATGCATATATACATATATATGTGTGTGTATACATATGTACACGTATACACACATAAATACATGCAAATTTTTAAAATTGAGAAAAAAGTGGAGCTGTAAGGTCACAGTTCATTTCTGCAGGGAGGGCAGATTATATTGATCAGCTCTTAGAGAGGATACCCATGTCTTCTACAGAGGTAGCTGTGCTCCGTTGTTGTTTGGGCCTGCCTGGTCCTGGCAGAGGCTAGAATGATTGAAAGGGAAAAAGCAAATAGATGTCTAACCACGAGGGGAGGAAATGGATGGGTTACCAGCTGATCAAAGGGCCAGCATGACGGGGAGGGAATGCCCAGGTAACCAGGAGGCCGACCATCCTGGGGGCCTGCTGGGGGAATCTGAGGAAATGCAGGCGAAGCACTCTGAAGAGGCTCAGACCTCCCTTAGCCAGGGACCTGCACCTAAGACAGTTGAGCCTTCACGCCGTCAGCTGGCACATGGGTGTACCACCACCAGCAAGGGCTGCAGCTGGAACCTGTGATCAAGTACATCAATAACTCAGCAGAGAAGTATTTGCCTACTTCCGTTGACTGTCACACTTAAAAGACTATAAATAGTTTTGCGTAGTTTGGATCAGAATTTACCATCCAATTAGTTCATCCGTCAGTTTCCTGACAAGCTGTGTGCAGAGGTACTTCAGAGTTCCTAGGATTTTGGAGTTAGAACGTGGGTCTGCTTCACTACTGAGATGAATACATAAAACTGTTGCAAACCATAACGCTTACTGCTTCCTTCCTTTTTCTTAAAAGATCACTCTAGAAGCTTTTGAGAAGCTGGGATTCTCTGGAGTGGAGGAAATGGCCAGTATGTTTCGTTTCTATCAAATGAAGCCTGACCGTGACATCAAGCTTACCCACCGTCTAAACCCCAAAACCAGAAGCTTCAGCCAGTTTATCTCAGAGAACCAGGGAGCCTTTAAAGACATGTGAAGAGCCTCAGGCGCTGAGCTGCATGGCCTCTTGTCCCTCTTGTCCTTGTAACACAATATTCCCCCTTACAGAGCAGCAAGGGTGGGGGGTGACTGTCTATATCATCTGAGGGTTCCCTGTGCCTTCTCTCCTGACACTGCACTGGAGATTCAACACAGCAATTTGATTCTCTTAAAACTTTCCAGATAGTGATTAATGGTGGTAGACCTAATGGTGAATTGAGAAGTCCCAGAATACATTGCCTTCTCCAGATCCTTCTCTCCAAGATCCAAGTTGTCTGAAAAGGCTGGTGTGAGGAACTCGGACCATCTCCCTTAATGTAAATGTGAGGTCACTCAGCTCTCTTCTGAAGGAGGGGTCCCCTTCTGAATCAACACACAGATCTACTCCCTGTAGATAAGGAGCCCAAGCCAGACCAAAGTATGAATACCACCTAAGTCCAGCTTGGTGAACCATGAATTTTATTGGGGTTACTTACTGGAGTGTGGGTGAAGGGTTACTTACAGGAGCAGAAATGACTCAAAGACAGCTGCATCACCAAAGCCCACCCTAGCAAAAGTTAGGAACCTGGAGCATACCTGCACAGCCTGCAGGCAGCTCAATTGTTTTTTATGTCTTCCAGGTGGCTGGGCTGGGCTGAGTCTTTACAGCTTGGCTTGTCTGAGAGCCTTCTTTACAGCTCAGTTGAGCTCCCTCTGAGAGGGACCCAGTGGTTAGTGTTTATCCTGGCAGGGAGGGGCCTAGTGAATCTGGTCAGTTTCAGGGACTTCCTCAAGTTGTTTTGTTTACCTTCCTGCTCAAGAAGCTTCCATGTAGGATGGAACCTTTCAGTATCTGAAGAAACTGTACACACCACTACACTTTTTCAGTGATCTTGTCTTCTTCAGCCCACAACCCCACTCCTGACATGTAAGTGATCAATAAACGTTGATTGAACAAGAGAGTAAATACAGTTAATTGCATAACAATTTATTAGGCTTGGGTTCAATGCCCAGCACCAGGTGGTACACCCCTGTAATCTACTCAGGAGGTAGAAGCAGGAAGATCAGACGTTCAAGGCAGTTATTGGCTACATAGCAAGTCTGAGGGGACCTGGAATACATAATGAAGGGACACTAGCCCACTCAAGCACGTGGCTCTGGCAGGCCTTGCCCTTCTCCCCATTCCCTCCGCCACATCTGTTTCCCCTCTATCCTGAGGCAGTCCTTTGTCCCTCCAAGGACAAATACCCCTACCCCCTTTCCCTTGTCCCCTTCCCCTTCTCCTTCATCCCCCATCTCTATTACCACCACATCCTAGACCAGAGAGAGAGAGAGAGAGAGAGAGAGAGAGAGAGAGAGAGAGAGAGAGAGAGATGTGGGGGATCCACCAGAGAAGACGTCTTGGGCATAGGTTTACACCAATGGAAAAGTTTTAGTAGTTGGCCGACAGCTACACTGGGTGTTGGGGATCCCAGTGCAGCACTGACTCTCAGTGTGAACTTTTAAGCACAAAACCCATGTCCTGGGTTGGCAGACTTCAGTTAACAAAAACAGTTAGCCAGAAACAGAACATCAGAAGCCAAAAAGTAAGGTCAGTACATTTAGAGACCTTCCCAGGCTTTGGTGGGCTAGGCCTTCGGTTTTGTCCCTGCGGATGGTGCTGTCTACATGCTGAGTTTATGACCCGAGTGGTACTTTTACCATGGAGTCAGTTGGAAGTGGAGCTCACACAGTGAGCATGAGCAGACAGCCTCTCATGTTTGGTCATGGGTGGAGGGAGGGGCAAAGGAAGGAGGTGTTGCTACATACCCATGGTTTTCCTAGAATTTGCTCTGCAGACTTGAATTTGAGGCAATCCTCATGTCTCTTTCCCTAGTTCTGGGGCTATAGGTGTGTGTCACTAGGCTCTGCTGAGAAAGAGTGTCACCGAAGACTCCAGAACCCTTCCCAGAATCCCCAGCTGTGAAGTCAGATAATCCAGGACTTAACTGCGCAATTAACTGAACTTGGCCGAGTTCTTTGACGCCTGGACTTCAGTTCTGCCTCCTCACAGGGACTACCAGGAGAACCAAAGTGCAGAGCGGATGAAAACCCTTTGTATGGTGCTTGCCAGAAGGAAGTGATGGCAAAACAGGACCATTCTTACCCTAGACTTCTTCATAGCGCGTTGCCCAGCCACACCCCACCCGGAGTTCTGATGAACCCTGATCTACTCCCAGGACCCCCACCTGCCTACCTGTCCTGGCCTCCCCAACTACCTTAGTCACCTGTCTAGTCTGCTCATCCCCGCAGTCTGCCACTAGATGGCAGGGCAGGTCTAGCTGAGAAAGAGTTGCTTGACCCTCATTTGAGGTAGATGTTTTTTTCGTGGCTTTTTAGGTTACAGAGTCAAAGCAGATATGCAGAGTGTATTACAGACCTTTGGGTCTCTTGTTTCTAGGCTCTCAGTCACCTCTACGACCTGGAATCATTTCTGGTTCTGGCAGTAGACCAGGAGCTGTGTCTGGTGTGGACTCCCGGAAGCAGAGAAAGAATCGTTTATCTCCAAGTCTCCATCTAGCACCCTCTCAGCTCACACAGAAGGAGCCCTCAGGAGGACAAGCCTTCAGTGTGGACAGAGGGCTTCATGGCCCTGCCTCGTGGGCTCAGAGCACAGAGCCTGAGAACTGGGCTCTTGGCTGTGTTGGCTGTGGGGTCTGTGACAGCTGTCTTCACCTCCACAGTCCTCTCCCACCCCAGGCATCCTTCCAGGTCTGAATTTGATAGAGGCTGCACAGCGGCACTTTTAGAAAGAAATCAGCTGAATAGCCCTCCAAGTGTGCTTGCCCTGGCAACCCGAGGCCCCTTAAAGGATGATAGGAGCTTTTATGACTGGTTTCGGAAGTCTCTATTTATCCAGCCTGACTTCAAACTCATGACAACCCACCTGCCTCAACCTTGGAAGTGCTGGAATTAACATGTGAGCCACCACGTCCAGTTAATAACATGAGGTTTTTTTTTTTAAATAGTAACAATGTATGTGAATGGGTGTTTTGCTGGCACATATGTCTGTGTACAATGTGCATGCGGTGCCTGGGGAGGACAGAAGAGGGCATCAGATCCTCTGAAACTGCATTAAAAAACAGTTGTGAGCAACATTGTGGGCGATAGGAAATGAACCTGGGTCCTCTGGAAGAGCATCCAGTGTTTTTAACCACTGCTATCTCTCCAGCCCCTAAATCTCTACTAACACCCTAATCAAGATTATTTCATTTTACAGATTAACATACTTTAGAGTGTTTTGATGACTTATCTAAGTCACACTGTTGGAGATGGTCTGGCTCTCAAGTATCAGAGCCTTGAGTTGTCAAGTTAGAAAAAACTTGGGTCTTCCTATCTGGAGTTCAGAAGTTCGGGAATTTGGACACATTTTAGCCACCTGCTGTACAACTCTTCCCATAGCTAGGGAAACCACATCTACTATGGCTGAGAAGCCACTTTCTCTAGCTTGCTGCTGATGGCCCTTTCTCCCACATAGACACACAGGTGAATCGGGAAACTAATGGGGGGGCCAGCACAAAGCAGTTGTTGGGGCATGGAGGGCACAGTATTTAATATGGGAGCCAGAGTAATCAGTTCAGGCCTTAAGTTTTAGCTACAGAGAAGGTTAAATGTGGGAGGATTGCTCAATCTCAGGAGAACAGGGACAGTCTAGAAATTTAGTGAGTCCCAATCTATATAGAACAAAATGAAACACACACACACACACACACACACACACACACACACACACACACACACACCAACCAAAAACAAAACCAGTGTTATTAGCACACCTACAATGTCAGCATTCAGAAGGCAAACGAATTAGAGGCCAGCCTAGCATGATCTTGCTTGAAGGAAACAAACCAAACATGAAAACCTAAGCAAACCAAACTACTCTTTTATGTATAAAGAAATACAAAGCAGAGGCATGGTGCACCTCAGAGTCCAGGCAAAGCCATGGGTCAAATATCTAACCAGCCGGCAAGACAAGTATGGAAGCCCTACATAGGAGTCTAGGGAGCTCCCTCAGTACTCAGAGTATATGTGTCCCTAAGAGCCGCACAGGCAAACGAAGGATTCTGGGCAGAAAGGAGGGCTGGGGATTATGCCACAGGTGACTGGGCCACAAGCTGTGAGGTGAAGCATGAACAGTACATTTTAATGGAAACACTGGCAGCCAGCAATTCCAAAACTGGTGGCTCCCTGACATTGGGGCTCGACTGACTTGAGCCTGCTGATTTGGTGGCCCAGCAGGGACTTACTGAGTCGACACTGGTATCCTGTGGGAAGCGGCCTGATTGGGGGATGGAGTCACAGCAGAACGCAGAACCTACTCCTTGGCAACAGGCAAGTGTGGGCCCATGACCATGGGGTTGCAGGGGCTGGGCAGCTGCAGCTTCTGTCTGTGCTATTACAAAGGACAAAGCGCTTGGCCACAGTGGAAGAGGAGGAGTCATGTGACAGCCACTCATTGGTGGCATGCATGCGTGCGTTTCAGGCCAGCCTCTTCTCTTTCAGCAGGAGACGGTGCCGGCGCTTCCCGGCACACAGCTGGGCCTCATTTCCTAGTGCATTCTGCAGTGAACTGCAGCTGTGTAGCTGACTTACAGATGCTTCACGGATCAGAAGTGATGCAGGACACTTGTGGGCCTGTGCACGCTCTCAACCCTGTTGGAATGCCCCATCACATTCCACTCCATCCCCTTCCCAGGCTCCGGATTGTTGCCTACAGAAAGCTTCAGTAGGGTCTGTAGCTATCTGAATTCCATCTTGGACATCTCTCCCCATTCCCCGCTCCCCACATAAGTCATGTCTTCAAGGGATTGAGGCAATGGTTCATCAGTTAAGAACATAGACTGTTCTTCTAGAGGACCCGAGTTTGATTCCCAGCACCTGCATCAGGCAGTTTATATCCGCCCGAGACTCCAGATCCAGGGTGACCCAATGCTTCTGGCCTGCCTCAGCAGGAACTTGTACTCATGCGTTTCATGTACACAAGCACAACTGAAAATAGTAAAAAAAAAAAAATTAAAGTCCCACAGATTAGAAATACCTACTTTGAACTTCTTGAGACTGAAATAACTCTCTATAGCATAAAAGACAATGTACATGGTGCTTTATGCATTACAAAGGTTCTCATTGCCAACATATCTGTTTATGCCTATTTTACAAAGAGGGAAGTAGGTTCAGGCAGGTCAAGTAATTTGCATAAGGTCACACAACCAGAAGTAACTCTCTTGAATGAACCTGATTGTCCGGCAGCTCTCAAGCCCAAATCCCATCCATAGCAATCAAGTGTCCAGTACGAGGGATCAATTCTACAGTGCCTAGGCTGTGATTTCTCGACCTATTTTAATCACCCCCCTGTGTAATGAGAACCTCATTTGCAAATCAGGGAGGGGAAAGAATCCAGGACCCCGCTCTATACCACGATGCTTAGGAGAAAGTCTAAGCACCGCACCCCAATCTCTTCTGGGAACCATGTAGGGCTGTGGGCAGAGCAAATTGCAGGGCCCAATCCACTCTCAGGAACCTGGAAGCTCTGAAGAGAATTTGAACCCTAGTGACACTCCTGCTGGTCCTCTGTCCATTGTCATCTGTGTCCCTCCAATCTGGGCTCAGAGGTGAACTCTCTGAACTGTCCAAAGAGGCCCCTGCTACCTCTTTGTTCAGCGACAATGGCTGTGATAACAAAAGAAAATCAGACACAGGTGAAGGTTTATTTTTAACATGTCGGAGAATGGGGATTTAACATGAAAATCAGAGCTTTGCGGCTCTCTCTCCAAAAGTGGCTCTCAGGCGCTTTTGGCTAGCCAGGACTCCAGTGTGCTTGGATCCTTGCCAGGGGCTGGGGTGGGGGGCTGGGGTAGACAGTGTAGTTTTTCTGGGCCTTTTGGCAAGAATAGACATTTGAGAGCTGGGAATATAGTTCAGTT